AAAAAAAAAAAAAAAGTAAAATCTTTACTAAAATAAAAAAAGACTTTATTTATTATCTAATTTATTATCTAATTGTATGATCTATTCTGATTTTGTTCAAACTGATTTCTGTATATTCAGATTCAGATTTTTTAATAAAAATATTAACAACAATATATATCTCATCTACCCATTATAAATTACAAATGTCAAAATATCGAGCCATTATCTTACTCACTATCAAGCTTATGCGAACAAAAAAATCCCCAATCAGCCTTTTATCCAAAACACAAAGAAGTCAATATGTCTAATAGACATATGCTCAAAGTTCGAATTGTGCGAATGTTTTTTCAAGACTGGGGCAGCACATACAAATCATATCTCGATTTGGCTTATTTATTCTACATATCGTGTATGTATTCATATATTTACATTATTTATATTTATTTCCGTGTATTGTAAAACTTTTATTCAATATTGCATCTTATAGTATAATAATCCCCAAATAAATATTTCACGTGTCTCGCACAGGTCACGTACGTATATGTTTCTTTATTCATTTATATAATTATAAGGTTGGATAAATGACCTTAAAATTGTGCACCACGTGCATCGCACGGGCTATGTACTAGTTAATCAAATTAGTCATTCCAACCTACTATCCAAACTCTGTATAGAAAGCTATCAATTAATAGCTAAATATGTTTTTCGAATTTAAAATATCTTTTAGAATTTCATGTAAAAAAAAAAAATCAGGAATTCTTCTTCAAGGGATATTTTTGTTCACCAATTTGATTTATATAACCATAAAGAAAAAATATAACTACCAAGCTAGCTCTCACACTTCTTCACATACACAGATGACCGACAGACCCAAGAATCTACACAATGACCACCAAGCTAGTTAAGTAAGAGAGAGAGGCCATATCACCATAAGATTTTGCTAATTGTTTACTTTTATTGAGCCACATTTTGTATTCCAGCCGTAATCAGAAGCAAAGTGTAGAAGAGTAAGAATTTTCAAAAAACATTAATGTCTGCTAAAGAGTACCAAATTACATAAAGCAGCCAACATAGACTATAAGAGAACTAACGACATGTACATGATCAGACAGAATGTAACTTTTGAAAGGTAGGCATGATCTCCTCTAATTCACTCCATGCTCCCCAAAATTGCATATCGTAAACAAACCAACAAAATAATCATTCAAAACAATAGGCAGCATGATCTCCTCTAATTCACTCCATGCTCCCCAAAATTGCATATCGTAAACAAACTAACAAAATAAACAGTCAAAACAAGGAATCGAGCAGAGAAGGAAGCAAGAAGAAAAAGAAGAAATTAGTCGATTAACTTTTGATTGATTTTACATGTAACCTTCATTATTTATATATCAAAAACTTTAGTTTTGCATCTAATATTCATACTATAAGTAATAAACTATTTATAAATTATTTTTTAACTATTTATAAACTATATATAAACTTATTACAATTAAATTTGGAGGATTTTAACAAGCGATCTTATATTAATCGTGTTCCATTGGATATAATCGTAGAATAATGTATTGAATATCATGGACAATAGGATAATTTTTTTTTTTCTAGAATATTCTATGCTTTATGTTGGCATATTTTTATTATTCAGACAATTGATAAACTTCTTTATTATATCAAATTGCAAGCCACATTGCATGAGTTAATATATAGTGGACCGTGAGGTTCAACATATTGATTCTCACATTTTGAATCAAACATGAAAATTTATAGAGCTGTAGTTTGTTACAACAAAGATATATTCTTTTAATTGCAAACTCGAAAAACGCATTTAGTACAAGTTATGCATACTAAGTTATGCATATATTACACTTTGCACAATATATATATATACCTTGATTTCACCAAAGTTGGATTCATAAGAGACTCTTCTGTCAACTATTTCTATTTCACATACCTTATATTTTCTTCAAATATATATTTTCACATATTTGAATTGAAATTTTTTCTATAGACACGTGTTTCTACTATCTTCGTCGATCGATTACAGAGGTATTAATTTTTAGAAATCGGCAAAATCATACCTCATTTGTTCGTCTCGCCATGTATTTTAAAAGCTCTAAATCAATTTTAAAAATTATTTTAAAATTTATCGTTAATTGAGTTAAAAATTATTTTGTGCCATATTAGTTTCAATTACTATGAGAGGCAATTGTCAAGGAAAAATATTCGTAAGGCAAACTCTAAAAATCGGAAAAGTTTGGGAGGTTAAATTTTTTTTTTCCCATTAATTAAATAAAATTATTGAGTTGTATATTTACACACACGTGTGTGTGTGTGGATTTTTTTTTAAAAAAAATATCATTTTACCAAATTGATTTTAAAATATAGGTATTATTTTAAATAATTAACTCTGTTATTTTTTTTTAATTATTAGTTTTATACGTAATTTCTTATCATTATATTATTATTTTAGTGCACCATTGTTGTTCACGAACGTCATATTAACTGCAATTATTCTACTTAATTTTGAAAAAAAAAAATATATTTTAAATAAAATAAATAATATTTCATACAAAATAATTTCAAGAATTTAAAATAATATTACAAATTCTTTTACTTTACTATTATTTAAAATTCTTCTTTCTTTTTCATTATATTTTGCACCATTAATTTTTTTTGTAAACACCCGTGTGGTGTTGTACTAGTGATACATTGATTCTCATAAATAGGATTAGTTCAAATAAAAACAAAGATCTCGTGTTTTTTTTTTCCTTATACAAATATACAATCGACCTTGCAACTTTCCTTAATTTATATCACGTCAATAATAAGCCCGGATTCATTTTTACTCTCAAGATTTTTCTTTAAAAAAAAAAAAAGAAATGTTGTAAACAACAACAAACTTATAACGTTTTTTGTTGTCACTTACAAATTAATCACCCAATATCAGACACGGGTTCCTTTTCTCTTCTATTGGCGGAAGCTTTAGCTATCAGACACGGGCTACACATTGCCTTGGACTTGGGATTCACTATTCAGACGGCTTTAACGGATTCTATGGGCGTAATTAACGGGATTTCGTACCAGAATGAGCTCGATCCTTTGATGGGAGTGTTTGACGACATCAGAGCACTCCTTATTTCTCTTGATTGTGGCCGATGCAGTTATTTACCAAAAGAACAAAATGGGGTGGCTCACAACATAGCGAAATGGGCGGTTGCTTCGCAATATCCCATGTTTGGAGTGATTATCTCCTCATTTTCTTCTTTTTTTTTGATGTAGTTCTCAACTCGGTTAGTATCTGATTATATTGATCTAGTTTATAAAACTGAAACAAAAAAAAAAAAAAATAATAAAATCACCCAATATCACCAATCTCGGCAAAAAAGGATGGCCTAACCCACTCTCAGCACCATCCACAAGAGCTGGCAAGCCCTGGACCAAATATTCCTACCTTAGATACCACCCCATTTTCCTGGAACATCTTTACAGCAATCCTTCTTAATACCCTCAAATTATCAAATATTTGTTCATTACACTTCCCCTTTTCCCCATTTTTTTTTTCCCTTGAATGGATTTTCCTACTAACACACTCAAGCAAAACAAAGCCTTTTTCTCTCTTCTCCTCAGCTTATCCTTCCTCTTCTTGATCACATTCTACTTCACTTCCATTTTCCCTTCCTCAAACCACCCCAAAATCATCCTCCCCCTCAACCAAAACTGCGCCGCCATCGAACAATTCCCCGACCGGACCTCGAGATGCGATTTCGTTCGGTCCAATTACGACTCGTGCCGAGGCAAGGCCTACCTGAACTACCTCGATGTCTTCTACTGTGGGGCCCGCCAGCCGTTCGGCTACGCCGTGCTCGTGCTCTGGCTCGTTGTCCTGTTTTACGTGCTCGGGGACACGGCATCGACCTACTTCTGCCCCTCAGTCACGGGCCTCTCTAGGGCCCTTCGCCTCTCCCCGGCCCTCGCCGGCACCACTCTCCTCCCCCTCGGAAACGGCGCCAACGACGTTTTCGCTGCTGTCGTCTCGTTCGCGCGCTCCGACGGCAGTTCGGCTGCCGTTGGACTCAATGGCGTGCTCGGCGGTGCCCTCTTCATCACGTGCTTTGTGGTCGGGCTCCTGAGCTTCGTCGCGCGGGCCCGGGTGGTTGAACGGGCCGGGTTCATCCGGGACATCCTGTTTCTCCTCTTCGCGCTCGGGTGCCTATTCGCGATTCTTGCGCTTGGCCGGGTCGGGCTATGGGCCGCGCTCGGGTTCGTGTCAGTTTACGCCGCGTACATTTTGGCGGTCTTCGGTATGCAACTCCGTCGTAGTGGCGGCGGCGGAGGAGAACTCGTGGCGCCGTTGTTGGACGAGGAAAAAGGGCTCCTCGTGCCGGAAAAGTGTGGGCTCGTCGATCGATCGGGCGCAAAATTGTCTGGAAATTATTACCTCGATTTGGCGGTTTATGTCGTGGATTTGCCGCTTTCCCTTCCGAGGAAGCTCACGA